GTTTTCTCCTTTTCATGTTGTTGTCCACGTGTCCTTTGATACTAAATCTTCCGCTGCGCTGCTTCACAGCCCATGATGATAATGATACGAATGTGTTGTTGTTGATTTCTCGTTGGGTTGCTCTTTGCATCATGCACATTGACATCTTGTGAATTCTGCACCTATGCTGCTGGTTGTTGCCACTTTCGTCATTGCTAGATCCTACGCTGTCAGTGCATTTCACTTTCTGATATGCTACAAGTGGTATCAGAGCTAGTGCGATGAATCTTGGCAACAACCAATCAATCGATTGATTGATTGGATTGGTGGTTTGCCACCAATCAATCTTCGATTGATTGATCAGTCAATCAGGAGATTGATCGAACAATCAATCAATCAACCAGCAATCATCTGAGATTGACTGATTGATTGATTGATTGATTGATTAATTAAGTTGATTGATTATTTGGCAATTGTTTATTTAATCTTGGAAATTTCCCGGAATTAATTATTTATTTATTTTTTTCCGAGAAATCATTTCTTTTTCCGAGAATTTTTTTTTTTCCGAGAAATTATTTCTTTTTCCGAGAATTTTTTTTCGAGAAATTCTTATTCTTTTCTGAAAAATTATTTTTCCGAGAAATTTGGTTTCCGAGAATTTTTTTTTCGTTCTGAGAATTATTTTTCCGAGAATTTTTTTTTACCTTGTTTAATTGTTAAATTTCTGCATTTTGATAATTTCGCATTTCTTTTTCCGAAACTGTCCCTCTACACTTTCACTGCGTAGGTCTGCAAATTCCGTTCTTTTTTTTCTTTTTTTTTTCAAAAAAAAATATATATATATATAAAAAACGGCATTTTTTTTCTTTTGCAACCTACTCCTACTCTGAGTTATAAAGACCCTCCTTTTCTGATTCTCTGCAGTCCGAGCACCGAAGGTTCACATTTGCTTTCTGCATCACCTTCGGTACTCAGTGGGATTGGACAGACTTTTTCCGAATTTTAAAGTTTTGTTTTTCTTTTTTTTGATTAGGAAACTGTTCAAATTGGGATCTGTCCGATCCTTCCCACTTGTCTGCTTCCTACCTATTCCTCCCCCTCCAGTTCGGGTACTGGGCCAGTCCATCAGATTGGCCCTCGAGTGACTCTTCATACTTCGGGCACAGCAGTGCATGACACTGCTCACTCGATCACAGACCAAGGCCATGGACCGGAAGGCGGGAGAATCCCTCCTGGCCTATGAGGAACGCCTGGCGGCATTCATTCAGGAGGCCAACGATAGGGCCGCCGCCGCGGCCAAGGAACGTAATCGGCTCAAACAAGAGGAGGAGGCCAAGCGACAGAAGGAGGAACAGGACCGACTTCGTCAAGAAGAGGCAGACCTGCAGGCGGCAGCCGAACACCGGTCACGCAAGCGGGAACGACTGTTCACGTGGGAGACCGTGATCGGCGATGAGGCCGCACATTGGGTGGAAGTGACATCTGCAGACGGGGCCCCGGAGACTGACAAAGGGTTGTCAGCCCTTGCGCAGGTCTCCCACGACCTCGTGGCCACCTGCGCTCTGCAGCAGGAGGAAATCCTTCACCTGCAGCAAACAATGGACCAGATGCTCGCACGGCTGCAGGCGTTGGAGAAGCACCCAGCTGCTGTAGCAGCCGCAGGGCCTTCCACCCTTACCACCCGTGTGCAAGTTTTGGAGGATGACGTCAGCAACATCAAACGTGTGCATCAGGACTTCCGGACGTCGCAGCAAGCAACGAACTTGCAGATGGAGACGTAGGTACAGGCTGCTGCCACCGTGACGCCCGCCGCCGCATCCTCCCAGCGCCCACCCAAACCGGATGACATTCCAGTTTTCTGTGATCAGTCCAAGACGGAACCGATCTCGTGGTGGCGCCAGTTTACTCTCAGGCTCGACATGCACCATGTCCCGAACAACGATCGACATCCGTGCTTGTACCACCGATCTGGTGGTGCATGTCAAGCATGGTTGGACAACATCTTGACCAGCCACGGCGTAGCAGTGTCGGAACTGCACACCAAGCTCACTTGGCAGGAGTTCACTGATGCCTGGCACAAGCGATTCCAAGTGGAGCCGCCCGACCTGCAAGCGATGGACAAGCTCAACAAGCTCCATCAGAACACGCTGCTCAGTCAGGACTAGATTACCGAGTTCCAAAGACTCGCCTCCACACCTGACCTGCCGCTTGCTTTCCGCGCCATTAAGCACTTGTTTATCATGCGCTCGTGTCCAGCTCTGCAAAACGCGCTGACGCAGATTGCAGAGACACTCGACACATCCGACAAGCTTTTCAACACCGCGTCACGGATCATTCTCACGAATATCGAAGCCCGCAACACCGGCCGATCTTCTACGACGACGAGCGGCACCCAACCCAAGCCAAAGGTGGCTTGCATTACTTCTACCAAGGCTGCAACACCAAACGAGGGTGAAGTGTTGGCAGCTGCCCGGGATGGTGGCCGACCGCGCAACAACCACGGCCGCGACAAGACGAAGACTCAGTCCACCTGTACACCGAGCACCGGATCAGCCGCTGACGAACCTTGGGCACAATACGGACTCTCGGCGAATTCTTATCGCACGAGACTCAAGTACCGTTACTGCCTTCGGTGCAACAGCACCATCCACGATGCTGCACATTGCCCCACCAAGGGGAAACCCCGTCAGGGAAAGTAGGCGCCGCCGCGAAAGACTTGACACCTCCCTCGACGCCATCGGAAGCGGTTGTGCGCACGACCGCCCTTTCTTCCGAGGCATATGCGGATGTCGGGAGTCTTCCACTTTCGTTCGAAGACTTCGCTGCCCAGCTCGTTCCTTCACTAGATGCTTCTCAAGGACAAGATAC